AAATAAAGAATTATAAATTCTTTGAATATATATATATAAGATATGATGAAGAAGCAAAAGAAAAAGGTAGACAACCCAAAGCAATCATTTTTGCTAACTCCTCACAATCCTTCATTTTATCATATTTCATAAGTCCTCCAGTATTAGGGTTTAAAGTTCCTTGATTTTCATCTAAATCTGAGCCTCATTCTATAGAATGCTCTATTCTCATATGTCTTACTAAGTGTCCCTATCCCCCCTAATTGTCCTCCAGTCTTATGTTATAAATCATCTTTACAAAGTCTGCATCTAACTCTATCAGTATTCTCTAATTCATCAAAAAAAATTCAAACCTTACTTCTTTTTCTCCGATTAGTAGTCCGGGCCACAAGTGGTCTACTACTAGCACCACGATCACCACCCCTGCTACCAACTCCAACACTACTAGGTGTAAGTAGTGTCTCATCTTCAATTTCTAATTCATTATCTTCTATACCGAAATCTTCTTGTAATTGTTTATAATCTATATTATTATCAAGTAATTTAAGAAATATGTGTAGAGTCATTTAAATTACTACCAGATGTTGAAGTAGTACCTCTTTTTTTATTTCCCCAATTACCTCGATTAGCAACCTTATTATAAATTCTTTTTGCAGCATTAAACATATTATAAAAATTTAACTACTAGTAAAAATTAAATATACAAATAAAATAATAAATAAGAGAAAGAGTTGGAGGGAATGCACCGAATTCGGCAATAAATGGAACACTTGATGATTTCGCAATTCCAATGTTACCACGAAGAAACGTCAATTGTTCAAAGTTTGAGGTTCAAAAACTTCAAATAATAAATTAAATTTCAAAAAAAAAATGAGAGCCAAATAATTGATTGCACTTTAGGTGAAGAATGAGAGAATGATAATTGAAAATATGAGTTTGAGAAATGAGAGATAAGCGAAGAAATGAAGAAGAGGGGGGGTGTATTTATAGTTTTTTAAAGGGCTAAATTAGTAATTACTAAAAGTGTTATTTTTTTTAAAAAAAAAGGCCCCAAAAAGGGCTATTTTTGCAATCCACCCGTTGGGCAACGACCAAATTGAAGCTGACCGTTACCAATGGTCATATCACCTTAAAAAAAATCAGATTTATAGCCGTTGAACTCGTCTGGGCCGGTCCGGGCCGAGCCGGTTAACCGGTTCAACGGTATTTTTTGTTGACCGAGTTTGACCGATCTGGTTAATCGAATTTTTTTTAAATGGACCAACCCCGTAACCCAGCCCTCCCGCCCCCCTAACTACTGGTCTGGGCTGGTCCGGGTTACAACCGGTCTAGGCCGATCCAGAAACGGGTCAACCCAACCCGTTAAACAGGCTTATATCTTGGATATACTTCACACACCAGAAAAGATTATGAATTTTACTACTGTGTTTTCTCCTAGTAATCGTTTACTGCCTCGCATAGTTGTTTACGATTCTCTTATCTGTTATGCTCAAAAATTGTCTATATTGTTAGTCTAAGGTACATGTTATAGCAGTAAGCATCTTTTAAACTAAAAATCCTCGTCACTACTTCGATGAGGTTAGACAAGATACTTACTGGGTACATGGGGTCAGTTGTACTCATACTACATTTCTGCACCTTGCGTGCAGATTTTGGAGCGGAGTTGCGGGTAATGTCGGGAGCTGACTCTGAAGATGTTCGTGCATTCCAGATACAACTGCCACTTGTCCTTGGTAGCTTTAGATTTTGCTAATCTGTTAATGTAACTTTCAAATAAATCACGTATTTATTTGTATCAGCTTTGTAAATTTCAAATTCTTAGAAACTCATGATTTGTACTACCAGTCCTTGGATTATATATAAATATTTAGATAATTCTTCACTGTTTTACTATAAATTTCATTTGGATTATATTGACTATTAGTTGGCTTACCTAACGGGTCGAGTTAGGTGCCATCACGACTAGTGGTTTTTGGATCGTGACAATATCATCATAATAATACTGCATAGTCTCAAGTATTAAAAAGTATAATATCAATTATTCAGGGGTGGAGCCAGAGTATGAATGCGGATTTGGGCGAACCCAATAACTTATGGTTCTATTTATCTCAAGAGATCTATTGAATATGTATAAATTATTTATTTAAAACTCTATAACTTAAAAGAATTACAATCCCTAATCCATAAGTTTCCTCTGCCGTAAAAAGAGGTACCAAATTTGGCAGTATTGGCAGTGTGTATGAGTTAATTCGTTAAATCTCTTATTTACGTACTAGAGATGATTAACTTATATAAGTATTGATTATTAGAGAGCTTTAGTGTTATCTAACACCTTAGCTTCTCGTGAAAGAATCTTCTTCTTATTGAGTAAAGGGGTTGAAGGGGAGGCTTCAAGTTTGTAGTGAATGGAGTAAAAAATAGCATTAGAGTATATTCTTGGCACAATAATATGCTTAATATCTACAAGGGGTCCAGCTTTGCATAAAGGAAATTTCTATGAATTTGCTCTGATATTTATTCTTCTTATTATGATTGAAAGTGTAAATTATTCACGGTCATTTCATGTTAATGTCCTTTTCAATTACTTTTGGAGGTCAATTTTCCTTAGTCCCCACACTGTTGTCACACCAGCTTAAAATTTTCACAACTGGAGTTATATTGGCTTCATCTTTAATTGCTGGGCTGGACGAGGCCAAATTTGGGCAACATCTTTCTACCCAAGTTCAATTGAAATATACATCTGTCCAATGTTTCATCAAACACATATCATGTGATCATTTAAAATTATATATCCAATATCTATATCAATTACACCTAAGTCAAGTCCTTTTCTTACATAAAGCAATAACTTATTTTCTTATTCTTGTACATTCTAATCATTACATTGTTCGTGCCCAAATCAATGGTCGGTACAAAAAGTAAATAAGGTAATTATTAAAATTGTCAATAGATAAGATATCAAGCTAACCAATTATAAAATGAGTATCATTATCACAATACTCAATTCAGTGTGACGTCCAATTTCTCAAGACCTCAGAAGAGTATTATTACCAAAGTCACAAGTAAGGAACCTTGATAGATATTTTCAGTTGTTAGGAGCTGTGTTCAGATGCGGATGCGATACGGTATCAAATTTAATTAAATTCAATACTTTTAATGCGGAGCGTAAATTTTTATATAAAAATTTATTAATATTATAATATATAACAATATAAACTATAATTTAAATATAAAAAAAAATAATAGGTTCAATGCTAAAAGCTTTAAATATTGAACCCATAAAACTTAAATTTTAGAATCATTTAACCGGTAATATTATCTCTTTAATTTATATTTGGAAACCCCTTGTGTAAATCTAACTGTTTTATTTCAGGCAGCCGTAATTTTTTATTAGGATTTAATAAACTGATAAGGATGTGCCTATAAAAAATAGTACTAACTTCGAAGAAATCCATCGTCACCAGACCAAACTCATCTCTTAGTGGTTCCTCATGAACAAGGGCATATGTAATGTGTTACAACGGGATAAATTGAATCTAAACTTTCTACGAAAATGAAAAATTTATATATAAAAATTTATTAAAATTATATAAATAACATATATAAATTCATTAAAAATATAATGAGTTCAATACAAAAAATCTTAAAAGTTAAAGGATTAAAAACCGGAATCAGCCTTTGTTCGTGAAAGGTGCTAGAAACTCTTCCTGCTAGAGGATGTGCATTTATTATCGGTATAGTTAAATCTTTGTGCACAAATAAATGTGCTTTACTACAAAACATAATTATTATGTTATTTATAGTAAGCAAGCAACTCACATACTGATAGAGTAAATAACATGTTACTTGTGAAACTACACTAGTTGTAATAGACTTCCTTAGGGGTCATTTGGTATAAGGTATAAGAAGGTATATGAGTGATATAAAAATTTAATATTATCTTAATACTCTATTTGGTTAGCAAATCAGGTATACGTTATCCCGGTATTAATTTTAACATCGGAATAAATTATACCTTATAGAAGGTGGGGGTAATTAGCACCGGTATAACTTATACCTTCTTTTTATAAATTATACAATTGTCATTCTTAATACAAAATACCAAACAATGAATAAACAACAATCCCAGCATGACTAATCCCAGCATAACTTATCCCAACATAACTTATACCGGTATAGGCCTATTTCATTCCAACCAAACGACCCTTATAGTATTATATGTTCGCTAATGCTTGTGGTAACGCAGCTTTTCGGGAAAATGAAAGACAACCGGTTAATTCTGCAATTGAAAATAGAAGCTTGAAGGAAAGGCGAAAAGGGAAAAAGATATACAAATAGCTGCAACTTGGGGTGAACTGAAAGTTCTATATTTAGTAAAGATAACTAAAAATAATTCTTGCTTTTCTCTGTCATATACGAGTAACGATTAATTCATTTTTGAGAAATGTAACAATGATTATTCTCCTCTCTCTCCCCTTCGGATACATCAGGAGGTACCACACAGAGAAAGGGTGGCTCTGAATTCTGATGCAGACAGACTCCATATGCTTTTCCCAATTTCTAGCTATTCGAGGCCTTCAATTTTATTTTAAAAAAATACACGACTCCACCAGAATTCGACAAGCCGCAATCTCTCTATTTCAATTTCATACTTCCTCCTCGTCTCAGACAACTCAAATTGTCTGTCGACTGTCCTGATAGAAAATATTAAATAATTTTTTTATTATTTATTTTTTAAAATATATTTTTTTTCATTAATACTTATTTAATAACAATTACGTAATATTAAAGATAAAATAAAAAATAGTTAATTTACTCTTAAACCTCTAAAATAATAAATAATTTGAAACAATTGTTTTTAAAAATCACCACAGATACTTTGATGATACGGATAGAATGCTATTCGGTCATTTTTCCTTATTGAATTTCCCCTGAAATGGGGGACTTAGCTTGTATGTAAACATATTCACATGCATGGCCATGTATCTTTGTCCCCACTCCATTTAATACAACTAATTCACCTATCTAGTTGTGACACAGTGTTGCCTCCACACATGTAAATCATGGCGGTGGTTGTTATGACTATGGTGGTGATGGCCACCGTAACATCTTCGAACACCATCTTCACTGCCACCGCTTGTCACCGGAAACTTCCACTCTCCAACCTTTTCTTCTCCTTCTTCATCAAGTATCTCTTTATTATTTTCTTGAATTGTTTCAATCACCTCTTCTTCATCGTCCAGGGGGAAATTGTCGTTTTCCTCTTCTGTTTCTTCTTCTTCTTCATTACGAATGAGATGTAATCTCAGCCGTCCATCTTGGCGGGAAGCAAGGAGAGTTTCGGGCCGACTAATTTTCACCTCCGTCAACTCTAACCTTCCATCTTTTCTCACCGCACGCATGAAGAAATTTGGCTTTCCGTCTTGGTTTAACGACGATAATGGCGGCGGAAACTTCTTTTCTTTCTTCTCCGAATTACTTCTTTGCCAACACTTTGAATTAGAATAACTAGCCATATTTGTAGAATATGATTTCCTAGAATTCAAATCATCTTGGTCATGATCCTCAATTTGATCATCCACTGTCCTCTCATCGGAGCTCTCGAAACCTAGAGACTCAGTACAAGACATTAGTCCATCAACACTTCCACCAACATCGTCTAAGAACCCAATTCCGCCGGGATCTTTTTTCTCGGCGGCGGTGGTAGGCGGTGTCATGGAGGTGGACTCGANTCGGCGGTGGCGGGCGGCGGTGTCATGGCGGTGGATACAAGGTAATTGTTTGGATTTTGAGTGTCAATTGAACCGCCGGCTGAAGCGGCGGTGAATATATTTCGGCGAGGGAGGGAAAAGTCTAACAGTGTTCCGCTGTGTTTGGAGTTTGCTAAACTTAAGAAAGGGTGAACGTTTTTGTTGCATAAACTCATCATATAATAATATGCCTTAGCTTCAAATGAAGATGGGATATATATAAGGGTTTGAAAATTAATAAATAAATCAATAATAGAATAAATTAAAATTCTTATGGAAAAAATATTTGAGAAAAAGAAGAGATGAGGCATCAACGACGTCCGCCCACTATAGATAGATAGGGCTAAAGAGAAGGACTATCTATATATGGAAAAGAATAATTTGGGGCAGACATTAGCAACTTGCATTAGCAAGATGCAAGAGACTCGGAACTTGTTTTAATTCAGCCCACTATTCTCTTTACGTCTGCACCAATTCTTGGCATCAAACAGACTTCATTCATTATAGAAATTCGCGAGTTTCTTATTAAAATATATTTGTCCTTGTAAGTACTAAATTGAGCAATTTTTATCTTCATTAAACTTTTGATATGATATTACCGTCGAAATAGCATGAGCTAGACAGTTTTCAAATTTGTCATTTAAAAATAGTCAATATTTTTTAAATTATTAAAAAATAATAAATATTTTACTGCAATAGAGATCGATCCAGCATAATATACTGGAGTTTGATGCATTTGTGTATGAACTTTCAGTATATTATGTTGAACCGGTATACTTTGCTGGCTCCAATATAATATACTGGAGTTCCAGCAAAGTATACTGAAACTCCAAACTCTAGTATAATATACTGAAATTTCAGTATATTATGTTGGAATATTTTTCAATTTTTGAACAGTGTTTTCGTTCAAATTTATATTTACATGAAAAGTGACTAATTTCGATGACTTTTGAAATTGTGGCTATTTTCGAATGATCACTTATAAATCTAGCTATTTTTTAATTTCTCCCTATATTACTCTCTCGTTTGGAAAATTCTCCTTCGAGCCAGGTGATCTAACGAAACTGTTTTAAATTATAGTTAAAGTTAAAGGGTAAATTTAACTTCTTTTTTTCTTAAAAAATTTAGACTTATGAATTCCACCTTCGCTGCATGCTTAAACTCCGTTAAAGACGGAAAAATACGGGATCATTTTAAAATGATAAGGTATGATGGACCAAAAGCGTAACTAAAGGTGAAGTTGAATAATTTTTAATTTTTTAAAAAGGACGGCTAAATCTAATGTATAAAGTAAAATAAATAAATTAGCTCCAACACCACATTAATGTAAAAATGGTGTTGTTCTTGTTATTACTACTATTGTTATTAAGAGGGCAGCACGAAAAGAAGGATTTAGTGGTAAAAGATTATTTTAAACATACAAAGTACTGTGTTAATATTTATTGATTGTGCATAGCAGATAAATTCGTCGAAAGTATGGGGGTTTGAAGGAAAGATGGAGTATGGTGGGAAGCGTGCCAGCAAGGCAGAATACACAGAGAGAAATGAGCTGGATGATGAGGAGAGATTTTGGGTCCCACCCCCTATTAATCAGATGGCGTTTACTTTGTAGAGTTAGAGGCTTCCCACTATTATCCTTCCCACCTTTCAACAACACCATCCTCATCTATTTCTTCTCCCTATCCTATTATTTAATTTCTTTTCATTTTTCTTGAGGTATATACGTACGTTAGTAATAAAATCCATTATACATAATATATATATATAGTCTTAAAATGATAAATTTTAAAAAATCACTAATAGGTATATGTCATTTTCTAGGAGTAATATATTAGAGTATTTCATAAAACAATAATACGGATAATTTAAAAGACTCTTAGCCAAACTCGCACAACATTTGCAAAAGGAGTACTCAGGAGTGACAAACTACTAGGAGAAGATTTTCCTTTTGCCTGCCTCTTGACGGCTATATATGTAAATTAGGATGGCTGAACTATTACATGCAAAGGACCAAGACCCCGAAATCTCAAGAAGAATAACCGTAAGTTAATAAACCCTCCGTTTCAATGTCAGTGAACCTATTTCCTTTTTGGTTCGTTCCAAAAAAATGATCCTTTTTAAATTTGGAAACAATTTAGTTTAAACTTCTAATTCTACCCTTAATGAGAACCTTTTATAATCACACTAATACTCTAGCCCCTTTTTGACTTATTTAGGACCACAAATTTGAAAAATCTTCATTTTTTTAAACTCTGTACTGAGTCAAACTGGTTTACGGAGGGAGTATATATAGTTGATTCAAAGTATGTTGAAATTTATAAAATGAAATGGAATAGAATAAGGGGGCACGTTGACAGCTTTGTGTCACGTCATTAGTTGTTAACTAAGTACACGTACGACACTTGACAACTTGCTCACGATCTTGCACAACTTGCTCACGTTCTTGTTATGCCAAGTCAGTCTTACTACACTTAAGATCTCTAAGAGAATGGTAGAAAGAACACAAGAGAATTGTTAAGGGAAGTTTTATATTAGAGAGAACTTTAATTGTTTGCTTGGTGAATTACAAATGAATGACCCCCTTTATATACTAGTCTCCTAGGGGCTAGTGAGTAAATATTAATTATTACACAAATCCTTAATATTTACAAGATAAGGACTTTCTCTAGAATTCTCTACAAACCTAGAAGATTCCAAAGACTTTCATAGCAAATCCATAAGGATCTAGGTTCTTTCTAAGGAAATGTCTATACTTCTCTATAATCTTCTCACAAATATTAGCCTTCTTCTTATGTAAGCTTCCACATGACATTAATATATGCAAAATGGCGCCTATGTGTCATGATGGCATAGCGCATCATCACACTTTCCCCCACCTAATATTGCGACGACCGCGACGCAATGCTGCTGCATAAACTCTCGAATCTTATCTTTGAATTGCCATAAGTCTTCTTTTCGTTCCCATGGGGCCTCTTTCGGTGATTTCCCTTCCAATGGATGAGGAATATAGCGGGTGGATTTTTGCCTTGTTTTCGCCTAGCCTGGTAATCCATAATAGCCTCAATCTCCCAATCATACGAGGCGCTGATAGTCATAGGTGCTCGACTTGATTGGCCCCTACTCGGATCATCCTTATCTTCATGATATGTCTTAAGCATGTTGGCATGGAAGACATGGTAGATTTTAAAATACGATGGCATGTCAAGCTTGTATGAGATATTGCCTACCTTGGCGACAATATTAAATGGCCCTCATACTTGCGAATCAGATTCTAATGCATGCCCTGTAGTGCCTTGAACTATCTTAGATAAACTTTACCATGACCATGCCCCCAACTATATAGTCTGTGGGACGACGCTTACGGTCTGCAAATTTCTTCATCTTCTTAGCTGCCCTATCCAAGTAGGTCTTAGCAGTGTCAAGCTCTTCCTCCCATCTTTTGGCCATATGATAAGCCCCCAAACTTTTTCCCTCGAGCGCAGCTGGTAATGAATGTGGAGTTTGTGGTTGTTTGCCTGTGGCTAGCTCAAATGGTGTCCACCCCATGGACTCACTCCGCTGCAAGTTATAAGAGAATTGGGTGATGTCTAGGAGCCTTGCCCAATCATTCTGCTGCGCGCTTACATAATGCCTCAAGTAGCATTCTAGTAAGGCATTGACCCGTTCTGTTTGTCCATCTGTCTGTGGGTGGACACTAGTGGAAAAGTGCAGTTCTGTGCAAAGCATATTGAATAACTCTCTCTAAAAGTTTCTAGTAAAACGGGGGTTTCGATCACTGATAATATACCTTGGTAATCCCCAATACTTCACCACGTTCTTAAAGAATAGCTTGGAGGCTTTCTTGGCAGTGCAACCTGGTGAGGCGGGCATGAAGGTGGCATATTTAGAAAATCTATGCATGACCACCATAATAGTACCATAACCATCGGACTTCGGTAGACAAGTGATAAAGTCCATAGTGACGCTCTCCCATGGACGCTCTACAACTGGCAGTGGTTCTAAAAGTATTCCGGTTTGTTGTTGTTCAACCTTGTCCTATTGACAGACAAGACAAGTCTGCACATAGCACTCTATGTCATCTCGCATGTGTGGCCATAGTAGACTGACTCAACCAAGGCCTTAGTGCGACGTTGACTTGGATGACCAGCCCGCATTGTGTCATGACTCTCCCTTATGATTCGTCGTCTAATGTCTCCAAACTTAGGCACGTAGACCCGCCGACCTCTGGTAAGCAGTAGGTCATCTTATATCCAAAACTATCTCGTCTTGCCTTTGTTGGCTAACTCGATAAGCTGTTTGGATGCTAGATCATGTTGAATGCCTTCTTTTATAGCCTCCTGAATGTCCTATCTTGCCGAAGTGATTGCAGCAAGCTCGACTTTCCGGCTCAAGGCATCGGCTACAACGTTACCTTTGCCGGCTTATACTCCAGCGCATAATCAAACTCGGCCAAGAAATCCTGCCACCTAGCCTGTTTTGGTGTGAGCTTCTTCTGCGTCTGAAAGTAGCTAGTAGCCATATTGTCGGTCTTGACCACAAACCTCGACCCGAGCAAATAATGTCGCCAATGGCAGTCATTTCCTTCTCTTTCACAGTGTGACGCCTCTCCACCTGATTTAACTAGCGGCTTTAAAATATTGTGGGATGCTTATCCTGCATCATGACACCCCAATGGCGAAGTTTGAGGCATATATGTGCACCTCAAATGTCTTGGCAAAGGCAGGTAACACCAAGACTGGCTCCTCTGTTACAGTTGCCTTAAGGCCTTCAAACGCCTTTTGACAATGCTCCGTCCAGACCCATGACTTGTTCTTCTTCAGTATCTCAGTCAATGGTGCGGTCTTTGCTGAGTAGCCAATGATGAATCGACTATAGTAGTTAACAAGACCAAGGAAGGATCTCAACTCCGTTACCTTTATAGGTGCCTCCCACTCTTGGATAGCACGTATAGCTCACCATTGCTAATG